CGTGAGTCCTCTTCTGCTGGATGAGTGTCGCTGACCGCGGCACCAGAGCCACGCCGCCGCCACCGGCTGTCGTCACGGACCGCCGTGCTCCCTGACCCCTCCCTTTCCCCCTCCTGGCGAGGCTGCGGTGTCGTGACTGTGTCGGCGCGTGCGCGGCCGTCCGCCGCCTTATGCGGCACCGCCTTTGAGCGGCGCCGGCTCGGGTGGCGACGCCGGCCGGGCAGCGGTCGCCGGCCCATCAGATAGCCGGCGCCGCGGCAGCTGAGGCGGCCCGGCCGCGCCATGCCGGCGTCCGTTCTGCCGCCGCGCCCCGAGGACCGACACGCCGTTATCGGACGGCGCCCGCACGCCCGCACGCCCCGGCCAACTCTGGCCGCGTTGCCAGTTGCGCCGCACGTGCACTTATTTCACCGGCTGTTTCATTTGGGCTTGATGCGTGGGATCCGCGTGGATGCACCTGATGCGTGGCGTGGCGTGTAGCGGTGACATTTGGTGGGCACCTGACAGGTGTGCATGTGCGTGTGACATGCTTTGTGGCGCATGTATAGCCACCCTCACCTGATTCGAATAGATTGCAATTCAAAACCTGTGAGAACTGAATCACAATTCAAAGCAAGCAGACTCTAAGAAGTGGTTCGAATCGCTTTCTGATTCAGGGAATTTTTTCTTCTAATTCTTACTCTGATTCAAGAAAAGAGGGGCTGAGTCAAGAGTCGGATCACCTTAAAGAGTGTGGGGAGAGCCCCACCTTAAGGGCATATTTCAAAAGCATACTCTAGTGAAGCCTCGGGACCAGTTACTCTAATAATATCACTGGGTAGTGCCACTGCCGCACCGTCAAGACATAGTAAGCGTGTCAAATTAAATTACTGTCAAGTCCAACTTACGCTGTCAGTGCACTACGCTTCCTCCTCGCAGTCACGACCACCGCGGTCATCACAACAATCGTACGCGCCCCTACTGGTGCGAATGAAAGCACGTTTGTGGTTGGCCCAACGGGCAAGGGCTTGTAACCGAGAAGCGCGTTGGTTGATCTTTGAATCAGTGTGTCGCATCGATGTGTGATGCTGCATTCCCAAAGCTGGTGTGTCTCGAAAAGGACCACTGTGATATACGTCATATGGGAGAAATTAAAGACATAGTGCAACGTTTCGTCGAATTCGCCGGACAATGGCTTCATGCTGTCATATCTTTTTTATCTAAACAGTGTTTCAAGCTTTCGTAATATTCAGTACACAAACATTTTGACACATTACGTACCGCAAACATACTTGCAACTGTTGCAAACGAGACATGAATATCTTTATGACTAGTACAGGTTTATTGAGTGACTTACGGGCTACGCTTAGAGGTCTAAGCGTCCACAATGTCATGCAATGAGGACAAATATAAAAGAAAGTTGACGATGTTACGCCGTCAATGGCCAAGTTTTACTCTGACCCTGCCGGCGGCTGGGCGTGAGGAGCTCTCCACGCCGTAGCGGCGGCGTGCGGCGTCGGGATATGGCATGTGGTTCAGAATTGATGTCTATGTTTTCTGCAGTCAGTTGTCATGAATACAGTGCATGGTTAATTTGATGTCTGTGATGCATCTGAGCAGGCTGATCGTTTCTAGTTGTTATTGACACGCATCCTACTTTCCTACGGTCCTGCTGTTCAGGGAAAGTACTGGATAAAGCATGCATACTTTCGCCTGGTCACCTGCGGGGCCAGGCGAAATTTGGCCAGGCATTCATCCCCCCCCCCCCCCCGTCCGTTCAAGGCTCACCATCAGGGCGCTGAGTGGCTCTCGTCCCCATCCTGTCCTGAATATATCCCGCCTCCTGTCTTGGGGACACTGGCATCGATAGGCAGAATTGCAGTGAACGGCGCCGTTCGCTCCAGGCTGTCTCGCAGCGTTACCCACTACGTCAGCGGTACGGTACGTCCGCATAAAGATCGCCAGCTCCCGAACAGCCTGTTCCCCCCCCCCTCCCCCCTCCCGGTCCACCCACTGGGTGACCGGACGGCGGTCCAGTCACGGCGGTCCTCCTACTGGGTGAACAAACGGCAGACCGCTCGATCCTCGGTGCACTGGCTTCATGGTGTGTTCACTGAACTATCTCTACCAGGCGGACTTCCGCGTGCTTGTCTGCCGCGACCGCGACATGAACGCGGTTGGCTTTATCCTGAACCCCACCCGCCAGGCTCAGTGTCTTCCGATCGACAGCCTGGACTAACATGATCCCTCGACCATGAGCTGATCTGGCTGGTCTGTCATGCAGGAATCTAATTCCCCATCTTCTGCCGCCCCCCCCCCCCCCTACCCAGTACCCGGCTCTGTACTGCACTGGCCTAACATTGTTGGCTATGGTTGCTGAACCAACACCCTTCACTTTCCCGTGTTCACATGCAATCCGGCTTTGCATGACCCTTTTCACTAGCAGGTAATACGCCCTCACTGCTATGGTATTTTTTTTTTATTTTTGCCTACAAAGGTTTCTCGTTAAGACGTAATGAACCTGCAAGGACCGAACTTACCACGGCCCCAGTGAGAGGAAGACGAACGAACCTGTTTCACTTTCGCTACAGCAACATTTTAGTCCAAGGCGTTGCGGCCGAGGACAAAGAGCAAGAGGGCCATATGTTCCGGTTTTCTGGACTCGATAGGGCTAAGAAACTGATTTAAAACCCTATTATTTCGCCCGTTTCAAGAAAAAAGGAGATCAAACCACTTCCTTCGCGTGTTGAATTCATGTCGCTGGATCGGCATGCCTGCACATCGAGCCATGATCATGTTTTCGAGCCTGCGCTAGGTGGCATAAGAATTGTTTGTAACTAATCAACTCGCCGTTGGAGCCAATGGTGCAACTGGTGGAACATTGTCTGCGCCAGCACAAAGTGAGATCCCAGGTATACGCCCTTCCACGAGTCGCACCTAAAAGGATGTCTGAGATTTTTTGGTGAGGCGTATGAAGCGCGGACGAAGTTTTTACATGGTTATCTGGGCCACCAGGGCGAGGACGATCGAGCGACATCCTACAAGTAATGCAGCTTGAACTGTGCACTGAGCAGCTCACACCATCACTGGTGATACCTTGTTTACACTACCATATTTGTATTGAGCTCAATTCCGAGCAGCTATTTTCGCATGACATCTCACGCTGCAGCACAAAATCCGACCCAAGATACAAAAATGCAAATGTCAGCTAGCTTCGAACACTTTTGGCCGGGCTTTTCAGTAAAATGATGGCAAACGCGCGCTTCCTTGCGCGGCAAAACTTCCGCGTGCATTCCACTCGCGGCCTGGACGGGTGCATCGCCAGGCGTCCACTGAAGCAGCGGGCCAACTATGGGGCATAGTTGGTTCGTGGGCATAGAGATGCACTCGCACCTCGCACAGGCCTCAACATCTCGGGGATGTCGAGATGATGGCATGCCGCTGTCTGACTCGTATAAACTAACATGACTCGGCATTGAGTCCTTAAATAGTCATGCCCATAATATATGATATGCTGGTGCATGTACGCGCAATAGTATGCATAGGTCGAAAGAATGCGAAGGATCCATCAGACGATGAGTAAAACAATCTAATTCCCCGCAGCGCACCCGCGTGTATGGTAGGAACATTTAAACGGCTCCTCCGTTTCAGTTCGAATTCGAGAAATGGTAGCAGCTGTTAGTTCAGAACGTGTCCGTTTTAGCATTAAACTCGTAAATATTCCCTCGAGTTCTTCAAGACAGTTGTATGTCATTGGGATGATACGGCAAGGATGTGAAAGAACTTTCTGACGCTAAACTCTTGCAGCACAACCTTCCTAATAAAATGCATAAAAAGGCGACCCTTGATTAGACTGAGATGGATGACACATTGGCGTAATTTTCCGGCGCAAAATCACGCCAGTCCGCGAAAAAAAAACAGCAAGCATGCGGGAACGGACGCTGTAAACGTGTGGCTGCCATCCCTACCGCTTACTAGCGCCACGACATTGTGCTCTTGGCATATTCTTGTTCACCATGGTTTTCAGTTACTATCAGAAGCCGGGCATCTGAAGCGAACCGAAGGCTTCCATGGCTACTTATCGGACCAGCAACTCGCCGCACACGCCAGGACAAAACGGAACTGAAGCATCTCTCCGCTTCGCATTGCAGCGTTTTTGTCTTTTCAACTCACAAAGCGTAGCTCATAACGGCAGGGTGTTGAGAAGTGACTGCAGAAAGTGCCGCGTCCGCCAGCCCCACTCGCGGAAGGTGAAAGTCAGCCTTTCTTCACACTTGTTTCACCTGAACATCGATCAAGCTCAGCACTTTGAATTATGCGATACAGCACACTGAAAACATTCAAGCAAAATGGCGAGGTTTTGTGAGACCCAAAGGAGGGCTTCCAAGGTTCAGTTTTAACTCTGAACAAAATTTAGTTCACGTTATGTATCCTTCTTTCGCAATGCAAAGCTCTTTATCTATACCGGCGAAATCTACGGTCCGATATCGTGTCAAAAAGTCAAGGCTCACTATGACTGTTCCAGCCAAGGTACGCCATGGCTGAATGGAATTGGGAAAATCTGATAAAAATGGACAAACGGACTCCGGCGTAGCGTCTGGCCGGCCGCCGCTGACAGATTCACGCCAGGGTATCAGGCGTCTCATTTAAACACGTGACGGTGTCCGTAGCCTGGCGATTCACACCTCGCGATTCAAAGTGCAACACCTGAGCTGGCTTAAAGCAGCCCGCAGCAATTGTAACTACATTCAACTGACTTCGGAAAGCACGGTCATGATGATATTGATATATTCATAAGGCTTTCGCCTCGCCACTCATTAAAATTCTGCATTATGCATGCAGCATGAGATTCTGAGTCCGGAATTTCCCTCACCCACCATCTTGGCCGGTAGGAGAACCAATCCGAAGCGTTCGGCCCCAAATTTGCATATACAGCTGGTGAGTCGTGAGGTGCTGCCACCTGCAGGCGTCGCTGCAAACTGGGCGCACTAGCGCCGCCCAGCGGCCGGCGCGGTACTCACCGGCTTCGGCCTGCTGCCAGGCGAGCGCGGCGCAGAGTAACGCCAAACTCTTGCCGGAGCCGGTCGGGCTCTCCAGCAGGCAGTTCTGCCCGTGCTTCAGCCCCTGGACGATCTGGAACGGCGCAGCGTCAGCCGCCAGCGTGCGCGCGCCCGCCACAGTCCGGAGGCGAGCGCCGTCTCCGGCCCCGGCCGCGCCGTCCCACATGCCCACGTGGGTGCGGAGGCGGCAGGGCGGCGCCGGCCGCCGGCCCGCTGCACGTGCGGCCGACGCGCGACAAGCAGCGCACTCCAACCGAGCACCCCGCAACGGCCACAGACAGAGCTCAGCGGGCCTCTGTCCCGGTCCCGGTCCCGCCCTCGGGTCGGGAAGGCGTTCCGATCGCACCCCAGGCCCCGGTCCCGCCCCGCTCGTCCCGTTCCGTCCCGTCCCGTCGCTGGCGTACCTTGGCCATCATGGCGACCTGGCACGGATAGGCGTTGAAGGGGAACGCCACCTTGACGCCGCTGATGGTGTAGTCTCGGCCCATGGTCGGGCCGGGGCCGAGCCGGGCCGGGGGCCGTCCGGTCGGGAGGCGCCTGGAACAGGGTGAGGCGCGTCAGCCGGGCGCCGGCGCCGGGGCCGGCCACGCGCGGCGTGGGTGGGGTGACGTCGCCGAGATGGGCCAGCCGTGGACAGCGGCCAGACGAGCCGAGCGCGTGTACGCACGTCCGCTCGAGGCAGGTCGCACACCGCCACGCAGCAAGACGAGCCGTGCTGCGGTACAGTACAGGACGCTAGCCACGCCGGTCACCCACTGGCAGTCATCGAGGCCCACACAGGCCCCCGCGGACGGCAGCGTCACCACCGCCGAGACGTTGAGTGTGTGCACACGTGGCCGCGCGATCGGCTCGCCGAATCTCGTCCGGTTTTTTTAGATGACATACTGTCCAACGCACACCAAACAGAAATTATCCAGTCGGCATATCCGCCAAGCTTCGGGAATGCAGGGCTAATTTGGAGGGCATTGGTAGGGGTGTTGCAGAGTTCGACATAAGCACCGTAGCAAGAATAAGAGGCCGTCGGGGAAATTTAGCACAAAAAGATGCATTAAGTCCGTTGATATTAACGTTGTCACACCTAAGCAATGTCGCAAAGTCATAAAACTAATATGGTCTTAGCATTTGTCACGTAGAACAGAACTGCAGTCGATACTTATACCTTCATCCGCAAACTTCGCATCATTAATTACCCAACATGCATAGGTCCGTGGGACCGGAAGAAAACAGCTATTACAGGCAATCCCAAAATATATCAATAACCAACGAGTCTAAAGGAGTCCTAAGCACGTTAGCTCCTACAAGCGGATCGCTGAACAAACAGGCGGTATCCGAGTCGGACGACAGCCAGTCACTTCACCTGCACACAACTACGCTATGCACAGGTATAAAATCAGCAGGGCATATGGCGCGCTAATGATCTGAACCAGTGTCACAACAGTTTCACCTCTGCCGCAGCGGTCTCCGCGAAGGAAATGTTGGATTCATTTGTGTGTTGATACCAATACACATAAGATGATCATTCATCACGTTTATAAAAAAGAGCAATTGATTGGAAATAGAAGGGAAGTAAAAACGCAAGCTCTGCGGCGACATATATTCACATCTACCTTGTGAAAACTTATATCGATTTCTGTTAAGACGAACTTTTACGGATACACGATATATACTTTTTGTAATAGATTCATAAAGACGGTGGTGACACACTTCACATGCCTAGTACCAGACACTGCAATTTCACTAAATCAGCAGTGCATGTTGTTTGCTTTTTTACTGCTTTACCAGATTAATTTCAGATATTTTGTATCCGAGTGCCTATTGAGTTCCAGGCTAATATTTAAATACCTAAACTCACACAGCTTCTCAGCTCATATTAACCACAGTTGATCTATTTTAGTAGTCGTGTACCTAATCTAAACATCGACATGTAAATGTGTTATTCTTTTTTAGCTTAGTTATGGATAATTTTAGAACGAAAGAAGACGGTCCTCATGTAAAAGACAAAAATACGCGTATCGATCAATATAAGATAAGTGCCACCAAGCTAACAAATCAACGTGTTTCAGCGTGCAAGCTTCGCAGCCTGTTCGTTTGTTTGATCTTTAACGTCTACAAGTTACCCCTATGCAATGTGGCGTAGAAAGACGTTGCAAAGTTGCGCATCGTCACTGCATCGCTCGTCTGAATGGCACACGCGCCTTGCCATGGTTATGGTATATGACATACTTGAGTTCCATTAAGTTAAGTTGGACATATAAGTTTGACATTTTCAGTTAATTTTGGCATACGGTGTCTCGGTCGAAGTGCCCATGTCACTCTACGATAATCGTTCTTGCGACAGACTTCCCTCTTTTCATCGGCGCCGGAGCTTGGGACGCAGCCAGTCGAAGGTCAAGGTCAGCACACTGCGGCCGCTGCAGCAGATCACTGCCGCCGCTGGATGCATCAGAACCAGCCGGTATAATTAACAGCCGATAACATCCGAATGCAGCTGTGCTGGCCGTCGCCCAGCGCGGCGGCCAGCGCGCGCCGGGCGCCGGTTTTTCCGGCCGCTCGGTGACGCCGCACCAGCGGTCCCCCGCGCGCTCGCTGCGAATCTCGGCGCCCGCGGGCCGTCACCGAGCGGCGCGGCCGCGCCGCCGCCTCCGCCGCTGCAGAATCTCAAAAAAGCCGGCCGGTCCCCGGCGGCATCCGTCACGAGGCAGCGTTCGGCGAAGCGCCGCTTGACGGGAGAGAGCCGGACGGGCCGCGATTATGTGGCGACCAGACGGCCGGCCGTGTAGCCGACACCTCGGCAGCTACTGGTTTTACGGCCGGCAACCGGCCAGTGGCGGCGCCAGGCGCGCCGGCCGGGCGGCGCCGGCGGCTGCGGGGCGCGCCACTGCCTCCGGACCGGCTCGCTGAGCTCGGCGGCCCTCGGCGGCGGGCGGGCGTGGCCGGCGCCGGCGGCCCGCCCGCCGCCACTGACCGGCCCGGAGGGCGGCAGGGTCAGCGCTGGCCGGCCAGGCGCTGGACCCGCCGCTGGCCGCCATCAGATAGCGGCCTGTATTATTCGGCGGCTCTTTATGTGGCTGGTCTGTCACCGGTCGCAGCAGGTCCGGCCGGCCGGCGCCGATCGCTATCAGGCGGCGCAGCGCCACACAGGCACGCCGGGGTCCTGCGACACTGCGGCCGACGGGGGCCCCTGCGACACTGTGTCCACCCTGCAACACTGTCCAACGGAAGCCTGGCGACATTGCCCAGCGGCCTCTGCGACGCTAAGTCCACCCGGGGCACCTGCGACACTGGATCCACCGGGGCCTCCGCGACACGCCCCAACGGGGCCCCTGCAACATTGCGCACTTCGGGCCTTGGCACACAGCATGCACCCGAGGCCACTGCAGCACCGTAAGTCAGAGGCCGCCGTAATGCTGTGATCTGTGTGCTGCCACCAATGGCCCATGGCAGCACTGCGTCTATCCGAGCGTCTGTTACGCGATGCAGACCGGGTGCCATGGAAAACCGTCCACCACGGCTCTGTAAGGATAGGGGGTCCTAACAATGTGTCCACTGCCTGTTGCTGCAACGCTGTGACAAGCAGCGGCACTGCAAGTGTGTCCACTGACGTCTCCTGCAACATCGTCCGCCGACGACTTTCTGCGGCGGTCCACCGAAGGCCCACCCCACGCTGTTTAAATAGTTTTTTTTCTTTCTAGCAGCAATGTGCACCACGGGTACCTCCACAGTGCAAGGTCTAACGGGCGTACCGCGGCCGTGTTCACTGCGAACCTCTTGTTATAACCACGTCCACACGCGCCGGCTGTAACACCTAGCAGCGCGCGGGCACGGTCACTCTCGTCAGCCGGGAGCCGGGAGCCGGGCAATAGCGTGTGCATCTACGTCTCTAGAAGCAATGGTGGCCGTCGGCATATCAAGAAAAGCCTCACGCTTTGCGTTCACCACGACCATCCCTGGCCGCGTTACGCCACAGCTCTCCGTGCGTTCGTGCGAGCCTGGTCCGCCGTCACGTCACAGCTGTGATGGCTCTGACGCCCCGCTCCCTGCGCCGTCCTGCGGCCCCCCGCCGACCGGGTCACGGCCCGGGGCGACGCACGCGGCGCCGGTTCTCACGGTGTGAGCGCGGGCGCGGCGTTTTTAGCGCCGCCGCGCCGCGCCGCGCCCGGCCGGCGCGCGGAGGCCGGCTGTCGCGGCGCCGCCAAACAGGCTGACCGATCGACGCTGAGCTGCCGCCGCACCAAAACAGATCCTCGACAATTTGTAAATAGCGGCCTCGGCTGTCTCCGGCCGGCTGCCGTGCAGCGGCGGTGCAGCGCGACCCCGGTGGACGCTGGGAACGGGCCGAGAGCGCCGGCGCGCGCAGATCAAACGCGCCCGGCTTTGATGTGACCGTGGGCGGCGTCCGCAGCCGGATCTGCCGCCGCTGGACACGTCACGGTCACGTGTGCGGCGGCTGCTGGCGGAGACGGGCGGCGCTCGTCACCGCCAGCCAGCCGCACATGTGGCGCGAGGCGTGTGATGAGGCCGGGAGTGGGTGCCCAACCTGGCCACCACAATACAACAGATAGCCCGGTCGGGTAACCACTGCCCGCTACCCCACCCGTCAGTGACAGGGTCATCACTGCCGGCTACCCCATCTTATCAGTGGCAGGGTCAGCACTGCCAGCTACACCGTCGTGATCGGTGACGGGGTCAGCACAACCGGATGGTTGATCCAGAAACGTCGCTTCAAGTAGGACGCGAATGGCGAGTGGGTTATATCAGAACGAAGATAGTCTTTCGTCAGCAGCCACAGGCCGCCGGGCAGCCCGCTGGGCAGTACGGCAAGTCACTGGTGCAACCACATCTCTGAGATTGGGGGGATAAATCAGGATTTGAGGGGGTCAAACCCTGGAAGCAATATTTTCAAAGGGCAAACGCGAAAAACATACAGTTGACGTAAAATCGGAGGAACAAACTCTATTTTTTTTCGGAAATTAGGGCGGACATGTCTCCCAGTTCCCTGTCAGTGCTATATCCTAGCGGACAGCCAGCCAGGTGGCGCGAACAGCTCACCGGGCAGCAAGGCCGGCTCACCGGGCAGCAAGGGCAGCTTATTGGGCAATACGGGCAGACCGCCTGTGACCGGGAGCGGTCGGTAAATGTCCAGCCATTTAACATTATCTGTGAGGCGAAAGCGGCTCCTAGTGGCCGTCGACACCAGGTGCAGGGAGGCCGCCGTACCCAGGGCTCGCCGCGGCGGCGCATATGGGACGCGGTCCCCGGCCCGGCCCGTCTGAGAGAGAGGTCAGACGGTACGCCAACTTACTCGACACAGGTGCCGGGCCTCGCCGGCTCACTCGGTACCGGTGTCGGGCCTCGCCGGTTCACTCGGCACCGGTGTTGGGCCTCGTCGGCTCACTCGGCACCGGTGCCGGGCCTCGCCGGCTCACTCGGTACCGGTGCCGGGCCTCGCCGGCTCACTCAGCACCGGTGCCGGGACTCGTGGCGCACCGCGCCGTTCCGCGGCCAGCAGCTCGGCGCGGTCGAATACGTATCAGCTG